ACTCTTGTGCAATTCAAAGTGCCATAACAGTTTAAGTTGTTGCAATAAATAAGATTGTATAACGTTAATCACATAATTTATGTGTAAGTTTATTATTGTATTATTTTCTTTAATGATTTAGAATGTACTGTTTGTTTTAGGTTCAACAGTTTATTTACATGTACTGTTACTTAAGCTTTCTCCTATTTTCACATTAAAAAGTTGCATTTTTCTCTTAAGGTAATAAAGATATTTTTATTCAACATTCACCATCAGTGCATGCTGAATGTCGACATTTGCCAGTGTAAGTGAGAAATAATAATATTTAGCAAATATTTTGTACATACACGAAACGACTGTGTGAATGCTGACTTCACTGGAGAATGTTGACATTCGCCAGATATCGGTCATTCACAGTAACATATACACACAAAACAAATATATTACTGAAACATTATGAATTACAATAATATTAAAATAATTTAGCTTTAAAGTTCATAGTTAATGCAAATTATTTGATAACTTTAAATAATAATTAATAATTAAATTATTTATTTAGTAATTGATCTAATTCATTACTATTTTAAATAAAGTTTATTTTTATAATTATCAACAGGTATAATTTTGTATTTATTAGTCTTTATTAGCCTATTCCCACAGCAAAAATTTGTACATTTTTTATAAAGTAGTATCACACTGGTGTGCAGACTACATACGAGGGAAAACTATACAATAAAAATTTTGTTTACTTAATTTTCTATAAGAACTGATTAGTCCAGAACAAGACTTGCTTTGTCAAACACATTTATTCCATTGAATGACAAGTCAATGAAAGGCAAGTGTTGTTTTGGACTAATCTGTTCTTATAAAAAATTAAGTAAATTAAGAATGACAATGCAGTTTCAGGACTGGCCTTCTAAAAATTAAATAAAATCAAAAATTCTGATACCAATAACTGTTTTTGTTCAAAACACTTTTACATTCACATTATTATTCTCAGGAACAATTTCAGTCATTAAAATCATCATCATTATTTTTTCTGAATTTTCTAATGGTAGCTGTTTCATCTGTTGATTAAGTAAACATCTCTTCAATCCAAAAAATTCTTGTTTGGTTTTTTGAAAATTTAATAATTGAAATTTATTTTGTAGCACTGAAGAGGAGCTAGAAAGTTAACCTAGCTCAAAATGCATCTGTAAAAAACAATAAAAGAAGTTTTATAACCTAAATTGGCTATGAGGTAGTCTACCGAAAAATTTTTTGGATTGAAGAGATGTTTACTTAATCAATCATCATTATTGTCTATTTATGCATTTTCATTAGACTCAACATCCCTTTCATCTGAATCCACATCATACATCTCTTCATGTTCACTAATAGCAGAATCATCAGACTCTGTCACACTAGCAATTTTTCCCTCTTTCTGCCCTGTGAACTCTAAGGACGCCTTTTTTCCAAGCCTATCATAGATTTGGCCATGACACACAACATGGAAGTAGGAGGTGAGAGATGGGGTCCAACATATCTAGAGTAAGACATACCACCTCTACACAATTCTGGGGTTTTTCAACCCATCTAGATCCGTCCCTGGGCCCCCCAGATCTCAGCCATCTTGCTGAATGATGAACAGATTAGATTGAAACAGATAAAATAATTGAGATATCATAAAACAACAATAATACTTATCTCGTAACAAATTTTCTTCAAAAATATATTCTAGTTTATTAAAAAATACAAAATCTCTTATGAAAAATAAAGATTTCTTAAAATCCCTTGTTATTATCTTATTAAAAATATCCCAAATCACAATAAATCCCACAAAGAGATAACATGGCAACACTGATTCTAGTAACTAATCGCAAGGTAATGAGAACAGGTCCCTTATTAACTCAGTTTCAGTCCCTGTTGCTGGGGACAGTAAAACTGAGTTAAGTCATCATCAGTAAATGGTCACAGTGTACAGTCTGTGGAGAATATACAAAATTTTCAAATGAGAAGCTTGTAGAATACTGCACAGTCTATCTGTAAGGGTGAATTATTGCCACAGGAATAAGATAATAAATATTGAATAATTTATTAACATTCTTTTCATAAAATATCTGTAACATTTTAAAATATATTACAAAAGAGATATCAAATAAACTTAACATAATCTATAAATTTGATATTAATACAACAATTAAGAATTACTTACTATTGTTGATTTAATTTGTAACGGAAGTGAACGTCTTTTGATTCCAGTCATTGCAACAGTTTGAGCACGACGAATACTAGATGTCCTGCGCAAACTCCCAAAATTATCATTACTAAACAAAGAACAATTTCCAACAGCAGGAAATAAACCTCGACACGAAACAAATAACTGACAGATGTAATCCCTAAAGAGGCAAATATTAAGAATAAAGTAAGATAAATATCTATAAAAAATAATTTCATTGAAAAAATAACACCTGATTACTAATTAAATAAATAGTTTTATTTATAATTTATATAACAATTATTACTATATTATTTAAATTAAATTTTAAACATATTTTTTAAAATATTAAATATACTTAAGTTTAAATGATGTATTTTTGTAGAATCAATCAATATATATATATATATATATTTTTGTATGATACAAAAGTTGTTAGAGTTCACCAATATTTTTGGGAAACAAGAGCACAATTAAAAGTAATTGCCATTGCCATTTAGACAACTGTCCCATTTAGTGATTAGTTTATGGATACCATTGTGGAAGAAAGTCTTCAATTGTTCTTGAAACCATTTCTCAACAATGCACATAAAAATCACCATCCAACATAAAGTGCCTTCCTTCAAGCCTTTCTTCAAATGTCCAAAAATATGGTAGTAACAAGGCAACATATTTGAAAAATAAGATGGATGGTCCAAGTTTTGGAAGATTGCATATTGATAGTGTCACGTCATCCACTTCCTTCAGCCATTAGCATTTTGCTTGGACAGCCTGAGCATGCTTGTCTGGTGATGTCTTTGAGACCTTTCCTAAACAGTAAACTCAATCTTGTGACATTTTGGAATAACAAGCAAGCTCTACCATATACTGCTAACATCCATCTATGGATTTTGGCCATTCCACAAGAAACTGGATCACAGCTTGCTGATCAGTTTTGGAGATTCAGTATTGTGGCACACATTTACATTTGCATTTCCTTCCTGCAAATTCATGTGCCAGACTAACACATTGTTCAGAAATGTAAATCATACAGTCCTAATCAACCATGTAACAATTTGACTTCCTGACACCAACTCTTGCAACTTTTAGCTCATGCCAATAGTATATTTGCTGAAATTTTATGTAATTTATTTTATCTACAAGATTTAAAATATATTATAAAATACTAAATTGAATTTTTTTAAAAAATTGGTGTTATCAATACTAATTTCATTCAACATAATTGTAAATAAGTTTAAAAAATCTAAATAATTGTGTTAAGAAACAAGAAAAAGCAATTCTTTAAAGGCTATTTACTAATAAATTACAAAATTTTCTGCACTATTTTACTGCAGTGGAAACTAAGTTTTACCATCAATGCACAAATCAGTGATTTGTTCATCTTAAATACATACAAAATACTGTTGTTATATTAAATTATACTTTAATGAGTATAAAAAAATTGAGCCAGAAATTACACTAATTATCTTGAGAAACACAAATCCAATAAGCATAATAGTAAAAGCACAATATCAACAACAGAATTTTTGAAAATAACATCTCAAATACAATAGTAGAGATAACAGAGACTTATCACACTGCTACTGGTAACATTAAAATGACACTTCTACCATCAGAATGAAACCTTATTACTGGTATGCATTTCGGTACACAAAACCTTCATCAGCCATACATAAAAATATATAGGTATCTACAACAAAATATATTATGTTTACAATTTAAAATATGAATATAATATGAAATATGAAAGTGTAATGTGTGTACAAGGTATTTTCAAAAAAAATTAAAAAATTGATGAAACTTTATAATATTATAGTAACACCAGACTTAAAAAATGACAATAGGCTTCATGTTAACTAAAATTAAACAACCTGCAGATACAATTGATATTTTGTAAAAAACTGGAGTAGTCTATACTTTTAATTGTAAATTGTGACTCTTGTTATATTTATGTAAGAGAAACCAGAAGAACTTTGTTTACTGGATTATCAGAATATATACAATCAATTAAATATGGTTATGTAAATTTGGCAATGGCTGTGCACTACAAGTATGATTGTGAAATAAATAAAATTTTACAAAATAAAAATTATTTAATAGATAGACAATATTACAAGCATTTAAGAATACTAGATGTTGATGAAAAATATAGAATAAATAATAATGAAGGAAGAGAAATATGTAAATCCTGGTTGTCATTTTTACCCAATAAGGGGAGAGATAATAATAATTGTACTACACTCTAAGTTGAATTGTAATCACAACTGCTATTGTCAAATGTTCTCTTTTTAGATATTGTTGATGAGTGTTTTCTTTTAAACTGTTGTTATATAATTAAAATGTTTGTAATAGGACTTAAATTATATTAATTTAGACCTGTTCATAATGTAATCTTCATAATACACTGCAATATGGTTGCAAATAAACATTGAACAGGTCAGTTTGTAAACAAGTATTATATGCATACAATTTAAATTCATAAATTTTTTAAAACTATTCTATAAAATTATTTTAGGTATGTTTTAAATTGTAGATTGTAATTGTTATCAGTTTTTCTATTAATTTGTTTCTACAACTGATTAGTTTCAAGAAATTTTATTTTGTAATGGAATCTTACACTTTTTGTATTATTTTAATTGTAAACATAATATATTTTGTTGTAGATACTTATATATATTTTATGTATGGCTGATGAGGATCTTGTGTATCAAAATGCATACCAGTAATAAAGTTGCATTCCATTGCTAGAAGTTTGTTTTAATGTTACCAGTAGCAGTGTGATAAGTCTCTTTGTTATCTTTACTACTGTATTTGAGATATTATTTTCAACAATTTTTCGAGACAATAAGCTCTTTTATGAAACAACAGAATTGTAAATTATTGACAGAGACATTACAGGGAAATAGCTAATGTGATGAATTAACTTCTGAGGGTGTCTTTCAAATACTCATCAATGTATGTGAGCATGCATGTTTGTAGAGTCAGAAAGATTTTATTTACAAACAATAAAAAATTCATCTCTATCTTTCTCCTTCTGCCTTTTTTGTCTGATCTCACTAGTCCTTCATTCCACCCAATTGGTAAAAATTTCTGAAAAGAACTCTGGAAATACATCTTTGTTCAAACACCAACATAAACATAATATTAAAGGATTCTTTTATCTTAAAACATATGATAACATAATAGTAGTAAACGTTTTCAATATAAATGCATTCAGTCTTAATTGCTACAGTTTAAAATTAAACAAAATAATAAAAAAAAATTAATTATTTTATTCAACCACTTATATTAAATCTATTACTAGTATTTTTTACATAAAATATTATAAAAATTTCTAATAGTTATTCTTACTTTTTTGAATCTTGAAGAATTGTAGCAGCATGTCGAGTAACTGGAAGTTCACGACTATTTCTTATCCATCCAGTTACATTATATATTACAGAACTTGTTCCAAAAAAATGATTTAAAATAAACTGATGTCCATGTTGACCTCGCTGAATAAGATGTTGATTTTCTAAATAAAAAAAAAATTTAATTTGAACTTGTATAACAAAATAATGTAATAATAAATAATAATGAAATAAATGCTAACAATATTATAATTAATGTTAACCAAACAATTACCTAATTCAAAACTAAACTGGATAATGGCTACACAGAAATGAACAATGTGTAAAAAAAAATCTGTCATTAATGAAGATAGTAGATAATGTGTCTAATTATGGAATTTAAGAATGCATTATTTATTAATTTAAAGCACCTAGGAAAAACCCGTTAGAAGAAAGATCATATAAATCTCAACTTCCTGAAGCTGAATAACCATATTTTTAAAAATAATTAGCACTTATTAGTTCCTCCAAAATTAATTTTATTTTTTACAAATAAGAATTTTGAAATTATTACAAAATTATATAGGTTAACTTTTCCCAAACTGCAAGATATGCTTTTGCCCATATGCTTCTTGTCAATGAATATGGAGGTTATTCAGCTAGATAAATTATCTTCATTGACATTCAACTAACTAAATACCAATAGAATTCATGGGAACAAAGCTGTACTCATAAGTGTATTCACACTTAACCTACATAATTATATTATGATTTCAAAATTCTTATTTATTCACAGAGAACTGTTTGTTAATTATTAACAGATAGCAGATCTACTTTCATTACTGTGAGATTACTACAAATTATTAATTTTCATTTAGCTAACATATAGCCCAACATATATTGTAATTGTTGATTAATATTATAAAATAAATGTGGTGTATGCATTCTATTCATTATATATAGTTATAT